TCTCTCTCTCTCTCTCTCTCTCTCTCTCTCTCTCTCTCTCTCTCTCTGTGTGTGTGTGTCTCTCTCACACAACACACACATACACACACACACACATCAGCTAATTTTGATGTGCCTTGACTAGCTCATTGGCTGGCCACTTCTAAATCTCCCTGTGGCTAACACACATTCTCCCCTCCAACTTTCCTGAGTCAACTTGCTAAATCAGCATTTCATCTCAGCTACAGCAGACCCAATTTGGGGAGTGGCCCCTTGGGCCATTTTCCTGGATCCTTACACGCTGGTGGGACTTTAAGTTTCATCTTTTTGCTTTCCAGGTATGGCACTTCTCCATGTCTCCTCCGTCTCCTGGCCCCTCACCCATGCAATCTAAAAGTCCCGCCTCAGTCTTTCTGCCCAGCCATTGGCTGTATGGCAATTCTTTATTATCAATCGAAGCCAGTTGGGGGCAGGGACCCTCCGGTCTGGAAGTGGCTTTTGGGAGCTGAAATAAGACAAAGCATTAGAACTAATCCCCAACAACTTAAGCTCTGTGATTCAAATTACCTGACTGTAAAACTTGATTCCTAACCTTTACTGTCTGTGTCAATATCATCTCTAAAACCTTATGTTTAACCCCATAACCAGGACAGTGTAAGTGTACCTGCTCAGAGAGGTGGTGGGACGACAGGTGAGGTGACTACTTTCACGAAGACCCTCAATAACAATCTAATTATTTTAGGGGAAAATCTACTATCAATGAAGAATAAATGCTAAAGAACAGCTGTTACTATGGTTTCCAGTTCTTGCTGTGCAAGACTCACCCTTTATTCCTTAAATCAAATATACAGTCAGATCCATTTGGAATTGGCTAAGCCTTTCCCTGGATGAAGCTCAGAGGCATGGTAAAGTCTTCTTCTGGTCCTAGTACAATAAATGATTGAACAGTGATTGATTAGTGAGTACAAAACTAGTAAGAGCAGGTGATCCCGCAGTCGACCTCAACCTGTGACTGCTCCCCTACAGAGGCACCCTGCAGTGAAAGTTCAGTTTTTTTAAAAACTCAGTTTTGTTATGTAAATATGCTTTTAATTTTAATCCGAGGTGTGGGATAAGAGGCTGCTTCACAGCAGGTGATTGGGATTTGCCTAGTGCACTAGCAAGGGTGTGATTTTTGCCAGCTGCAGGGTCATTTAATCCTGGGAACTCTGGAGGGGAAGTCAATGTAAGGGTCCCAGAGAAGCCAGGGACCCTCTGAGGAAGTTGCTGCACCCTCTTCTGCTCCCGGTTACTATTGTTGCTGTTTGATGAGGAGAAATTGGAGATATCCTGACTACATAGATTGGACTTGCCTCCAAGGAACCTAATGTCCCTAATCAGCAGGAAATAGTCTATCTTGTTGGTTGAATGAGATCTATGGTCCTTCCCCCCTCTAACCTTCTTTCTCTCCTACCTATTTTTGGGGAGTTGAAAGGGATTAGAAGCCGGGCAGTGGTGGCGCATACCTTTAATCCCAGCACTTGGGAGGCAGAGGCAGGCAGATTTCTGAGTTTGAGGCCAGCCTGGTCTATAGAGTGAGTGCTAGGACAGCCAGGACTACACAGAGAAACCCTGTCTCGAAAAACAAAAAACAAAAAACAAAAACAAACAAACAAAAAAAGAAAGTGATTAGAGTAGAATAAGGGTTGGAAAGATGAATGATATGAGAACCCAATAAAATAGTTCAAAACAAATATACCAATAACCTCCTACCAAGCTGACTCCTCCCTCTTCTCCTGTACTTAGTAAAAATACTGAAGTTCCAGAATGTGGGTCAGTTGAGGCCCTCCATGAGAAGAAGCTCAGCCCTCTCAATACTGGCTATTTTATATCTGTGTCTGTTTTTTCTTCTTTCCCCTGTCACCCAAGACAGGCTTTCTAGGACCAAGCCATTAAGGACTTTATGTCAGTGAATTTAGTTAATAGACTCATAGTCACGGCTTTCTGCGCTTATGTTGGAACTGCCCTCCTTGCATACCCAGGACCTGGTCTGAGATCCCGGACTCCTATTGCAACCCACTCTGAGAGTCTCCAGTAAGTCATTCCTCAGGCAGTGGAATGCCCCACTGGCTTCCCTAATGCCAGTCTGGTCCCTACTATACTTACCAAACCACTCATGGAGTCTGTAGAAGACTTCCATTATGAGAAAGCAGCTGTGAGACTCATCCTAGACCCTGAACATAGGAATTGTACCTCCCAGCAAGCCTCCATTTAGCTGTTCTGGTGCCAGGAGGCAGCAGTGAGCTGGGCTGACCTGGACTGGTTTTGGGTGCACAAGCAGTAAAGTACAATATGCCATGAAAGTGAACTCTTGGAGAGGCTCTGCTATTGATCATATTATACCTATGTGTAATTAGGTGTGCCTATGTTTAAAAGGTACTATGGAAGAAGGATATGAGCAGAAAGCGAGGGCTTACACAGCCTGCAGTAAAAACAGAATCACACAAATGAAGCCCCAGAACCAGACTCCAATCCCCTTGAACGCCATGAAAGGAAGGAAGCAGCCTTTGAGCACCTTTCTTCATAGGTTCCACTGCCGACTGTATTCTCTCTGACCTGTTAGCTTTTTTTGATTTGATTTGAATAAAGTTTCCTGGCTATTCTACAACCTGTCTAGGTTTTTGATTTACCCTTGAATAAGAGGTTAAGGACTCCAAAACACCCAGTCTATAACCCACCTACCGACAACAAAGGCAGATTGCAGCCAGAGTGAAGACCTGTGTGCTGCCTCTAATCCCAGCTCTTAGAAAGTGGGAGAACCTGGAGCTTCAGGTCATCCTCAGCTACATCAAGCCTAGCCTGAACTAAGTGAGATACTGTGTCAAAAATAAAGACAAAACAAAGAACAGAAGGTAAAAGCTACCCTCCAATCTGGCTCTTGAGGAGAAATAGAAATTATAAAACCCTTAGGGAGCCAGGTGTGGTACCACACACCTTTAATCCCAGTACTCCCAGGAGGCAGGCTGATCTCTGTGAGTTTGAGGCCAGCCTGATCTACATAGTGAATTCCAGGTCAGCCAGGACTAAGTACTGAGATACTGTTCCAAAAAGTAACAGGAGCCAGAGAAGGAAACAAGGACAGTATGTGTTGTGTTAGCTTCCACCAGGACTGCTGTGTTCAGAGGCTTAAAGCCCCTTGCACATGGCTGGCTTCTGCAGCTTTCACTGTGTTTGTGATATCCAGTCTTGCCAGTGCTCAGGAAAACAAGACTTCGTCAGTGAGTTTCTTAGTTACTCTTGTGCTTCTACGAATAAACACCTGAAGGAAATAAGGGAGGGAGGATTTAGTTTGCTCCATGGTTTCACTCAGACAGCAGAGGCAGCCATATCTCTGAGTTCAAGGTCTGTGTGGTCTACATAATGAGTTCCAGCCAAGACTATGAATACGCAGACCCTGTTTAAAAAACAAAACAAAACAAGGTGATGGGGTAGAGAAGCAGACTGTAATAACAGGCTAGAATAGGAAAGGACCTGAAGAATACATATATTCACTGTCACCTACTTTCCTCAGACTAGGCCCCACTTCCAAATAATACCATCTTCCTAAGAATCTATCCAGGGACTAATTTATCCATTGGATCAGAGTTCTCAGAATCTAATTGTCTAAGGTAATGGCACTATTGACCACTCAGAGTTGGGCTTTACTAATCATGTAAGTGCTTCTACACACAGCAGGGTTGACAATTGAAATTCACCTTTGCATGGCACAATTCTTCTCAAGTCCTAGAGAAACTATCTCACAAAGTCTTAAGGGAATATTATGTGTGAAGGGAGTATCTTTGACTAACTGGGTGTCCACTATGGAACAAGGGAGAAAAAGGGTGCATGGGAGGCCCACCAGAGGCCAGCGTGCACAGATGGAGACAGCAGACAAAATGTACACAGGACAATTTTAAATTGCAAATGGATAGAAAGGTCTGAATAAAATCTGATGTATATCTTGATGTCTTCTTATACCTCTTATGTGAATTAAAAATATCAACAGGCATGGAAACACACATCTTTAATCCCAGCACACAGGAGGCAGAGGCAGGATGATCTCTGTGAGTTCAAGGCCAGCTCAATGCATTCCAGGACAACCATG